TCCCTGCTTGTGGCCTGGGAAAGCAGTCGAGGACGGCCCAAAGCCTTGGGACCCTGCACCCGCGTGGGAGACCTGGAAGAAGTTCCCGGATCCTGGCTTTGGATCGGCATAGCATTGACCGTTGCACTCACTTGGGGAGTGAATCATCGGATGGAAGATCTTCCTCTCTGTCTCTCCTCCTTTCTGTATATCTGACTTTCCAATAAATAAATAAATCTAAAATAATAAAAATAAAAAACGATATACTATTTTCCACAATGGCAGCACTGTTTGCATCTCCATCAGCACTGGACAAAGTTCCAATTTCTGCACAGCCTTACTAATTTAAACAAAACTTATATTTCTTCTAGAAGCAGAGAGACAGATACACATGGAGATCTCCCATCTGCTGGTTTGCTCCCCAAATTCCTGCAATACCTGGGGCTGCATGGTGCCAAAATCAGGAGCCTGGAACTCTGTGTGTCGCGGTGGCCGAGAGCCCAGTCATGCTCCCACCTACTACCTCCTGGAAGAAGGCAAAGCCGGTGTTGCAACCCCAGTACTCTGATGCAAGACATGAGCTTTTCCTAATTGGAAGGCCAAATGCCTACCCTGTGCGGACTGTTTTTAATTATTATTCTCAGAACGACCCTAAAAATTGTTGTAGGCCCAGCACGTTGGCCTAGTGGCTAAGTCTTCACCTTGAATGCATCAGGATCCCAGATGGGCACTGGTTCTAATACCAGCAGCTCCGCTTCACATCCAGCTCCCTGCTTTGCCCTGGGAAAGCAGTTGAGGACGGCCCAAAGCCTTGGGACCCTGCACCTGTGTGGGAAACCTGGAGGAAGTTCCTGGCTCCTGGCTTCGGACTGCCTTAGCACCAACCACTGCGGTCACTTGGGAAGTGAATCATCAGACGGAAGATCTTCCTCCCCGTCTCTTCCTTTCTCTGTATATCTTTGTGATAGAAATAAAATAAATCTTAAAAAAAAAAAAAGTTTTTGTGATTCTTGCTTAGCAGAGAGGCAAAAAAAAAAACGTAACTTACTAAAGGATATACAATTAAAAGCTAACTTTTCACACACCATTGTGGACTCTGATAAAAACACCTTTCTGGATGATTCTAGGACAGAACTGGACTTGAACTCTAAGAGTTCTCACTGATTCCCATGAACCTGATGCTAAAAGTACAGGACAGATCCATGAAATGTACAGCAGCAAACACTTACTTGATCCACAAATGTATCTTGGGTGTCACTGTCCACCTGCCAAGCCTTCCCCAAAACTACACCTACTTCCAGGAGGCCCTCGTGAACACCTGCAGCCCTGGTCTCAGAGCCTGGGATGAAATCTCATCACTCCTCTTTTTTTTTCTAATTTAGCCACTAACTTTTATTTGAAAAGCAGAACTACAAAGGCAGGAGCGACTTCCACCCATGGCTCACTTCCCGAATGGCAGCAACGGCTGGTTGGAAGTTGGGAGCCGGAGTTTCTGACGGGTCTCCTACACGGGTGCAGGGACCCAAGCAGTTGGGCCATCTTGCACTGTCTGCCCAAGCCACCAGCAGGGATGTCAGACGGGAAGTAGAGCAGCCAGGACTTGAACCAGCACCTGTGTGGCATGCTGGTGCTTCTGACAGAAGCTTGGCTTACTACACCACGATGCTGACCCCTCTCATCTCTCCTTTGGATCCTGTGTCCTGCTAAAGTGCTTGGGAAGGAGTGCTGGATGGTTCAAGAACTTGGGAGCGATCTGGATTTAGCTCCGGGCTCCTGGGGGTGTAGCAGCAGATGGAGGATCTTTGTCATACCCTCTCGTGGTTATTCTTTCCAGGAAAGCTAAAAACACCAACCAACCAACCCTCGCCCCTAACAAAATTTAGATGCTGCATCTAGCTTTGAAGGTGGCTCTCGCTGTCCTGTGCAATGGCATTCTTTGCAGCAAGCACTTGGCTACTCATCTTGAGAAGTTCATCCTTGGAAATCTCACGGCTGGCTCAGGCCGTGGACGGGAGGCTATTTCCTTTCCAGGTGGGCCCTTCTGCTTTTCTCACAAATCACCCAGCAAGCCCTGCTGCCGGTTTTAAATCCCCTCAGCCTGCACAGTTACCCCAATCTCCAGCCCCCCTTCAAGGTGTTTCCTGCGTGCGTGAGGCAGGTCCCGTGCTGCGCGCTGAGTGCCGCCTGCACCCCGCACGCTGCGGGGAGGAACGAAAGGACCTCACGGCCGCGGGGCCCGTGGCTGTGACAGGGAGAGACTGTGAAAGCCGGCTCGAGGCTAGCACGACGCCCGTGCGCTGCTTTGCAGGAACAGGGCCCCACTGCCTACAAAGGGGCTGTCCCCAAGTCCTCCCCTGAGGCCGACGCGCGCTCCCTGCCCCACCCACACACCGGCCGCCTCACGGAGGGCCGCCACCTTGCACTTCCGGCCGCCCACCGCGTGAGGAAAACGCCTGGGAAACTGAGTCACGAGCGGCCACCTCCGCCCTCAAGCTTGCCATGCTCCCCACAATCACGGCCGTCTCCCCGCCTTTCGTGCTCACAGGGAGGCAGCCATCTTGTACGGCAAAGCCTTTTCGTTTCCGGAGCCGTCCGGCTGGCGCGCCCAGCGAAGCTTCGAGCCAACATGGCGGCTCTCCCGCCCTCTGGCGGCCGCGCCGGAGCACCACAGGCCGTTCGTCCTTCCAGACCTGCTAGGGTCACGTGGAATCTCGCGAGACTTGGGCCCACTTCCTGATCCAGCTGTGAGCCTGCGCGGCGAGAGGTGGCGCGGAGTGCGGGAGGGGAGGGGGAACCGTAGGGCGCAGGCGGGAGTTGCGCCTGCGTACTTGGAGCTAGTGAAGCTGTCAGAAGGAAGAATGCCCGTTAGTGCCTCCTTTGACCCAACCATTATAATCCTAACTGGGACCTAACCGACCTTGCCAGCGCCTCAAACCCCTGGTAGAGACGGGACGAACGGCTCTGGGTTCCCGTCACAGGAGCCATCATCTGTTCTGGGATTGAGTTACTGGGAATGGATGAATTTCACGTCAGTGTCAGCCACGTGCTGTCTTCACAAGGCGACCAAGACAGGAATGTTTGCTTTTCAATTTGCCAGTGACCGTGAGAGCAGCAGAAAGCAACCCGGCCAGGCAGGGTCACCAGAATGGGGATGGGAGGCCTTGACCTTGGTTGTGACTGGTTGTGAAGAACGGAACAGCACAGTGGCCTAGAGGCTCAAGTTCTCGCCTCGTACGCGCCAGGATCCCATATGGGCACTGGTTCTAATCCCAGCAGCTCCACTTCCCACCCAGCTTTCTGCTTGTGGCCTGGGAAAGCAGTGGAGGACGGCCCAAAGCTTTGGGGCCCTGCACCCGCGAGGGAGACCTGGAATAGGCTCCTGGCTCCTGGCTTCGGACTGGCTCAGCTCCAGCCGTTGTGGCCGCTTGGGGAGTGAATCATCGGATGGAAGATCTTCCTCTCTGTATATCTGACTTTCTAATAAAAATAAAATAAATCTTTTTTTTAAAAGAGATTTGTTGTGCCCAGATTTTGCGATCCCCAGAAAGTCATCAGGAGTCTGAAATTGATGCAAACTCATCAGGGCGGTTTATTCAGCTCCCAGCCGCCACCGCCACCCAGTGGGACTGGGGACAGGGCAGCAGCGGGCGCCACAGTGGCTGACGCAGGAAAAGCTGCAGCAGAGGGGCGGAACGGGCTGAGGTTGGACAGCACAGGGTTTTTATACATTTCAGACCAATTCCACGCAATCATACAGTCATGATTGGTCAGTTTAGCTGTCAACTTTTAAAAAGAGCAAGTTGGCAGGCTTCTCTTGGTGGGTTTGAAGCAAGCAACTTTCAAAAAGTACAAACTGGTGGGCTATAGGGCAGTGAGGAGCCTTATCTAACACCAGGGGCCTCCTTCCTGAGGAGTGGTCTGCCTACGTGACCTGCCAGGTGTCCTGCCCGGTGTCACGTAGGCTGCCAGGCCTGGAGTTCACACAGCCCCCGGCCAAGCAAGTAAGGCAGAAATCACAAAAGCAGGAAACACTGAGGTTCTTCAGATTAATTGTGTATTTTACCGAAGAGCTCTCGGTTTTGCCTGAAGTTACGTGTTTTCATGTCCTACGTGGCCCCTGATGTCACTATTCTGTACCCGTGTGAAGCCACACTGCCGGTGCTACAGTTCTCCATTTTAAATGTCCTGTTTTCTCCTTCGTTGTTAATAGGTTGGGGGAGATGACTGAGGTGCCTGTTTTTGTTTAAGTTTTTACTTGCTAATTTTGGCAGTTATTGTCGGACATTGGAGAAGGTCCACTTATCCTGCTCTCGAGCAGTGGAAAAGCCACTGCAGTGGGAGAACGGTAGAGGGCAGGAAGAAGCTCCTGGCTCCTGGCTCCGCTCTGCTCCAGCCTGCTGAGGCCATTAGGGGAGTGAATCAGAGGATGCAAGATCTAGCTCTCCTTCTCTGTAACTCTGTGTTTCAAAATAAATAAATCTTAAAAAAAAAACCACAGTTCTCTATTTAAAGAATTAGAATGGTAGGAAAGGTTAGAGAGTGAGGTTAAGGTTCGTTGTTCTAAGAATAAGGGAGCCCGGCACCGTAGCCTAGCCACTTTGCACGTGCCAGGATCCCATATGGGTGCTGGTTCTAATCCCGGCAGCTCCACTTCCCACCCAGCTTTCTGCTTGTGGCCTGGAAAGCAGTAGAGGACCACCCAAAGCCTTGGAACCCTGCACCCCTGTGGGAGACCTGGAGGAAGTTCCTGGCTCCTAGCTTCGGATTGGCTCAGCCCTAGGTGAACCATCAGACGGAAGATCTTCCTCTCTCTTTCCTCCTCTCTGTATATCTGTCTTTCCAATAAAAAAAAAAATAAATCAATAAAAAGAAAGAAAAAGCCAGGGCCTGTGGCAAGCACACCGAAGTCCCGAAACAAAAGCTCCGAGCAGCGCCTGCCGGCAGGTGCCCGGCGGACAGCCCGGTTGCCCTGGAGACGGGGTCCTTCGCCGCCATCTTGTGGCGCCAGCCAGCACCCAATGAGCGGCTGCGTGGTGGCGGGAGGCGGGGAGGCGGCGGCCCAGGCCCTCCAGGCGCTGCCACAGTCCGGGTCATGGAGGCGCCCGCCGCCCGCTGGCTTCTGCTCCTGGTCCTCGGGGCCTGCGCCCCAGCGCCCGGCAGCGCCTCTGCGGAGACACCGTCGCTCATCAATGAGGACGTGAAGCGCACGGTGGACTTGAGCAGCCACCTGGCCAAGGTGACCGCCGAGATCGTCCTGGCGCACCCGGGCGGCGGCTCCTCTTCCCGAGCCTCCTCCTTCCTCCTGGCCCTGGAGCCCGAGCTCGAGGCCCGCTTGGCTCACCTCGGGGTGCAGGTGAGTCCGGGTGGGACCGCGCCTGCAGCCCCCACGGGCACTTCCTGCTGCCCGGAGCACTGGTCGTCGGACCCTGATCGCGTCCCTCTCGGCCTCAGGGTGTGAGGACCCTGGGGTGGGTTGTTTGGGGGTGTCTGTGAAATGGCCCCGGACCCGCCAGAGGGCCGAGGGGCGGCCGGGGCCCAAGTTCTCCCGCGGCCTGTGCGCGCACGCTGGGCAGACTCGGACACGTCAGCGTTAGCGGCTTGTGCGGGCCGCCGCTCTCGTGGGCAGCTGCTCGGGTCCAGTGGGCGACCCTGCCACGGGCTTGCTCTGAGCCCGGGCACCTGCTGGCCCCGCTCTGGCGTCCTGCGCCCAAGCGGCTGCACCTCCAGTCTGCTACACTTAGGACGAGGGGTGCCTGGCAAGGTCCAGGCATGCACCCAGCTCTGTCGCCCATGTGGAGGACGAATAAATGTCTTCCAATGAATTTCGTTCCTCTAATGCAGTTTCTAGTCCAAGGTAGGTACTTCCTGTTATACTTCATCCACAAGAATCGGGTTTTTGACAGGTTTCACTAGGAACTGTTGTTCATAGGACACACTTTACAAACTTGGAAGGCAGAGAGCGAGAGCCATCTTCTATTGCCTGGTTGTCTCCCCAAAGGCTTGCAGCAGGCAGGGTTCGGCCAGACTGAAGCTAGGAGCCCCACTGCTGTTGTCACCCCCAAGGGGATTAGCAGGAAGTGAAGTGTGCTACACGGGATCAGGGTGTCCCACACTGCAGCCTCACCTGCTGCCTGCTCCGTGACAGGCGTTCGCTACGTGGTTCCCGATGTTATTTGCTCAGAGAGTAGGCATCTTCTTTCTCCTAAGCTCGTCTTATGCCCTGACTGAATAGGCAGCTATAAATCGGAGTTTATGGAGACCGTGTTTCCAAAATGACGCCTGTCGCTGTGTAAGCCTCCTCTCCGAGGAAGTGCACTTTTCTCTCACGGGATCCAGCCCGGTGTAAACGCGCGTCGCCACCTTGGAACGTGGCGCATTTCAGCATCCTCTGGCAGAGCAGCGGCTCGCAGTCACCGGGCACTGCTTGGTGAGCTGGCGCGCAGGGATGCACTCCTGTTGCCGTGATCACATTTCTGCTAGCAAGCATGCCATCGCCTCCCAGGCTTCACCTCTCTGGGTCGGCTGATGCTTTTCCGTGGGGGTAAGGTGCTTCTCGCCGCGTTGGGAATGATGGCAGGTGTTCTCATGGCAACCTGCGGAGGTGGAAGTGTCCTGTGGCAGGTGTGGAGTCTGTCGCCAGTCAGTAGGTAACTGAATCGTCTGCCCACAGTTTTACAGGGCTGCACGGTTAATTCCATACTTCTGTGCATGTTCCCCTGTTGGGCCCTGAAGGCTGTCAGGCAGGGTTGTGTTAGGGTACGGGGCCGGCACCTGGGGCTCCCATTGTGGCACAGCGGGTTAAGCCACTGGCTGCTATGCCATCATCATGTGTAAGTACCAGTTTGCTCCCTGCTGGTGCACCTGGCAAAGCAACGGGAAATGGCCAACTCCCCCTTTAGTTTCTCACTAAATAAAGGAATTGGGGAAGCTTGCAGGGGCAGCAGGCTCTACAGGAACTGAAGATAATCCACTGGAAATGTTTCCAACAACCTCACCAATGTCCGAGGCCAGTGTTGGGAAATACTCATCGTGTTAATGTTTCCTGTGGCCACTGGGTGTAAGGTAGCAGGTGGAACTACTTAGCTGATCTGTGACCGCAGAATTAAATCTGTGGGTTCACTTCCCAAAGGGCTGGGCCAGGCTGAAGTCAGGGGCCAGGAACCCCATCTTGGTCTCCCATGTGAGCAGCAGGGACCAGCGTGCCTTGAGCGTCACTTGCTATCTTCCCAGGGACGGCAGCAGGGAAGTGCACTGGAAGTGGGTCAGCAGAACTGCTGGGACGCCAGTGTGGGGTGCAGCTTAGCCCACCGTGCCGCAGGTCAGCAGAACTGCTGGGATGCCAGTGTGGGGTGCAGCTTAGCCCGCCGTGCCCCAGGTCAGCAGAACTGCTGGGATGCCAGTGTGGGGTGCAGCTTAGCCCGCCGTGCCGCAGGTCGGCAGAATTGCTGGGACACCAGTGTGGGGTGCAGCTTAGCCCGCCGTGCCCTGACGCGGGCCCCACTTGCTCCTTGTAGTGGGAGGAAAAACAGTTTTGGTCATGCCTGAGACTTCTATATAATTAAGTACTCTTTATTTTCTGTGTGCATTCATGTTTGAATGTATATGGAGAAGAAAGCACCCAGGAAGAAGCCTTTGAGAAGCATCTTGAGCCGACAGCACCCGTGGCATAGAGAACTCTGCCTCCTCCTGAGAAGGCGGTGTCCTACATGAGCATTGGTTTGAATCCCGGCTCCTCCACTTCCAGTCCAGCTCCCTGCCGCTGTGCCTGGGAAGGCCGTGGAGGACGGCCCAAGTGCTTGGGCCCCTGCTCCTGCATGGGAGACCCGGATGAGGCTCTTGGCTTCAGACCGGCCCAGCTTTGGCTGTTGAGACCATTTGAAGAGTTGACAAGCAGATGAAAGATTTTTCTCACTTTCTCTCTTCTCTGTCTTTCAAATGAAAATAGATAAATCTTTTTTGAAAAAAAGTATCTGCAAATCTGATCTTTGTATGATTGAGGAAAACTTAATCTTTGCAAAGGGAAGTCTTTGTGTTTTAGATAGAAAAAAAATGCTGAAATCAACATTCAATCTTCAGAAAGTTCTGTTCGTTTGAATAATTACTGTGGATATTCTGAAAAAGTTGGTTATTTGCTCACAATTTAGAAAGCAAAAGGCATAGCCATAACCTGCCTTCCTTTGATGTAGGTGAAAGGAGAAGAAGAGGAAGAGAACAATCTGGAAATACGAGAAACCAAAATTAAGGGCAAAAGGTAAGTGACCCGGAGCGGCTGGGCCTGCCATTGGTTGAACGTCGCCGTGTCAGGCCTGGGATCCGAGGACAGGAGAGCTGCTTCGGCAGGCTCAGACTTGGAGTATTAGAGACTTATAACTCACACACTAGGCGGCAGCAAGCCCCGGGCTGCAGCGGACCCTGTGTCTCCTGACCACTGATGCTGACCTTGGATTCCCTGCTTTTGCCAGGGTTGCTTTCCATCCCTGAGCAAAGTCTCCACAATCCACATAAGCGTAAGGATTCCCACCCCCTCCATCCCCTGCCCCAGTGGAGGGGGACTCCTCCCCCAGGGGCAGGGAGTCCTCTCCCTCTGCAGCCCCCCATGCTCGCAGGCCTTTGGAGCACCAGGAGCAGGAGACTTCCCTGTGGAGCTGGGCCTGGGCTGCGGCCAGTCACAGCCCCCTGCATGGGGCCTGGCCTTAGTGGTTTGATTTTAAAATATTTAATTAAGAATATTTGTCAAATACACATAAAAGGCAGGACAGATTTATATAAAGCTGTCCTGTGAGCCAGCTTCAAAGGCTACCAGTATTTTGCAGGGTATGCATAAGGCATGGAAACACTTGTTGAACAGATGAGGTGGAGGAGAGAGAGAGAGAGAGAAAGAGTGAGCAAGCGAAAGAAAGAAATCTTGCATTCCCTGGTTCACTTTGCAAATGTCCAACAGCCAGGGCGGGGCCAGGATGGAGCCGGGACTCACTTAGGAGGGAAGACAGGAGCCTGTGTAGGTGAGAAAAGAAGGTTCCTGTAACTGAATGAAGGATGCAACCTGGACATGTGAGAAGTGTGTGCATGGAAAGTAGCCTGACATTTGCAGTATGAGATGCTGAAACCGGATGGCGTGTTGCAAGCTGTGGCTTGCTGTATTGGCCCAAGGGGCCCAATTTTAATGTATGAGTGCCTTGATTTTTCTGTCTCAGCCTCAAGCCTCAGAGTACATGAAATAGGCAGCGCGCTAGGCTCAAGGATGTTAGCCTTTGATAAGTGGCTGTTAAAATTCCTTCCCTTTTTTTTTTTTAAGATCTATTTATTTATTGGAAAGTCAGATATACAGAGAGGAGAGACAGAGAGGAAGATCTTCCGTCCAATGATTCACTCCCCAAGTGAGCGCAATGGCCGATGCTATGCCGATCTGAAGCCAGGAGCCAGGAACTTTTTCCTGGTCTCCCACACAGGTGCAGGGTCCCAAAACTTTGGGCCATCCTCGACTGCTTTCCCAGGCCACAAGCAGGGAGCTGGATGGGAAGTGGAGCTGCTGGGATTAGAACCGGTACCCATATGGGATCCTGGCACTTTCAAGGCGAGGACTTTTAACCCTACTAATTTATCGTGCCAGGCCCTCAGGTTTGTTTTTATTTAATCCTTACAAATTTAGCTTCGAGGCTAGTTAGTAGCTTCATGTTTTTATGATTATTAGAATGATAACAAACTCATTTTAAATTGGAAAATAAGCCAACAAAACGAAGCTGTCCTCTCACTCCGAGACAGTTCCGCTTTGTCAGGGGCTGGACACGAGGGCTGGACATTTGGCCAGCAGTGAAGATGCTTACCGAGCTGCCACGGCGGGGTGCATGGACTCTATGTCTGCCCCCAGCTCCTCATTCCTGCCTTCTTCTAGTTCAGACCGTGGGAAGCAGTGGTGGTGGCTCCAGTGACTGCGTGCCCTGGGCCTGCGTGGGGCCCTCAGTTGCATTTCCAGCCCATCCCTGGCTGTTGCAGGCACTGGACGCGGGAACCAGCGGATGACACCTTGTTTTCTCTGCTGTCTCTCCGCCTCTCCAATGAATAAATACAAATGAAAATAAGAAATTACAAAAGAAAATTTGAATGTGCCACATTTTGCTTCATTCTAGGTGGATACCTTCCTGTGTCAGTATGGCTCTGTTTACAGGCAAAAGTTTTTCAATTAATGAATTTGAAAAAAAAAAAAAACCCTAGAGATTTCAAACTCCACGGGGGTTTCCCTCGTGGGGGCAGGCTCTCCAGCACTTGAAGGCATCCTCTGTGGCCTTCCAGAGCGCGCGTCAGCAGGGTGCTCCAGCTTGACGTGGGGCCGGGACTCCAACCTAGGAACTGCAGTAGGGGAGGCAGGCGTCGCAGGTGGCACCAAACGTTTGTCCCTCAGGTGTGCTTCAGCGACTGCCCTCGTCATATCGTGTGGCTGCGCTAGATTGTTAACTGTTAGCCTCGCAGATGTTGAGTTAGCTCTGGGCTCATTTAGCAGGACGTTTGCCTTGAAAGACTTGCTAGAGTAAAGGTGGTTTCTTCAAGTTACTGGACTTTGCACTGTTGGCTCCGTGTTTCATTTCCTTAATGTCTATTAATCCTATTGCTTCATTATTCCAATAGTGGTAGATTCTTCACCGTCAAGCTCCCAGTCGCCCTGGATCCTGGGGCCAAGGTTTCGGTTGTGGTGGAAACAGTCTACACCCATGTGCTTCAGCCATATCCAACTCAGATCACCCAATCTGAGAAGCAGTTTGTGGTGTTTGAGGGCAACCATTATTTCTACTCTCCTTATCCAACAAAGACACAAACCATGCGTGTGAAGCTTGCCTCCCGGAACGTGGAAAGCTACACCAAGCTGGGAAACCCCACGCGCTCCGAGGACCTCCTGGACTATGGTCCTTTCAAAGACATCCCTGCCTACAGTCAGGTGGGTTGTGGGGGGCTGACCGTCCTTTCTGGCTGCTTCGAGCAGCGGCCTGCAGACTGATCCCTGGTTGCCAGGCTGCTATGTTGTTGTGGGGAGTGGGTGGAAGTCTGAAATCATTTTGGGATCATTTTTGTAGGATTTTTGATGTTGTTAATTTCAGAGGTCGATACAGACATACCTTCCATCTGTTGGTTCACTGCCCAAGTGCCAGCTGTAGTCAGAGGCTGCAGATTCAGTCTGGGTCTCCCTGTGGGTGCTGGGGACCCAGGCACCTGGGCTGTTATCCGCTGCTCCCCGGCTGCACATTACAGAACCCGAAGTGGTGTAAGCAGAACTCAAGCCCAGCACCGCAGCCTGGGACGCAGGGATCTTAACCGGGGGCTTAATTGCTGTGCCAAATGACCACCCCTTAAGAATTGTTTTTTTTAGCCTAACTTTTAGAATGTGAATAAGTGAACAGGGTTCCATGGTTTGAGTTACATAACAAAGACCATCCAGTGGGGCCCACATTGCGGTGGAACAGTTAAAGCTGCTGTCTGCAACGCCCGCATCCCATGAGCGCTTGTTTGTGTCCTGGTTGTTTCCAGTGCCGTGCTTGGGCCCTTGCCCCACACACGGGCGAGCTACAGAAGCTGTTGGCTCCTGGCTTGTGCCTAGCATAGTGCCAGCCATTGCAGCCTAGCATCGTGTAGCCTGGTGCGGTGCTAGCCGTTTAGCCATTTGGGGAGTTAGGTAATCAGTCTGTCAGGCTTTGCTCTCATCTTGGCTTTTCTGCCTTTCAGATAAATAAGCATATATTTCAAAAAGAGAAAGTGCTTACTGATTTCAAAGGCAGAGTTACAAAAGGGGTTAATATACAGATACAGATATAGACACTCCCCAGACGGCTGCAACAGCCAGGGCCGGGCCAGGCTGAAGCCAGCAGCTAGGAGCTGACCCCTGCACCTGTCTCCCATGTAAGTGCAGGGGTCAGGGCACTAGGAACTTCCTCTGCTGCTTTCCTAGGCGATTAGCAGGGAGCTGGACTGAAGTGGAGCTGCTGGGACATGAATTGGTGCCATATGAGATACTGGCGTCACAGGCTGCCTTGATCCGCGACACCATGCTGACTCCATAAAAAGCACTTTTTTTTTTAAAGATTTATTTTATTTTTACTGGAAAGTCAGATACACAGAGCGGAAGATCTTCCATCTGATGATTCATTCCCTAAGCGGCTGCAATGGCCAGAACTAAGCCGACCTGAAGCCAGGAGCCAGGACCCTCTTCCAGGTCTCCCACATGAGTGCAGAGTCCCTAGGCTTTGGGCCATCCTTGAATGCTTTCCCAGGCCACAGGCAGGGAGTTGGAAGGGAAGTGGGGCTGCAGGGATTAGAACTGGCACCCATATGTGAACCCAGTGTGTGCAAGGCGAGGAAGGACTTTAGTTGCTAGGCTACCATGCCGAGCCCATGAAAAAATTTTAAAAATATATAAATATATATAATTAGGGGGCCCAGTGCAATGACTCAGTGGCTAAATCCTTACGTGTGTGTGTAAATTAGAGCCTGGCACAATGGCTTGATTGGTTAATCCTCCTCCCTTACAAGCCCCAGGATCCCATGTGGGTGCCGGTTCCTGCCCTGGCTGCTCCACTTCTGCTGTGTTTCCCTGCTAGTGTCCTGGAATGGCAACGGAGGATGGCCCAAAGCCATCCTACACCCGTGTGGGAGACCCAGAAGTGGCTTCTGGCTCCTGGCTGCAGATTGGCTCAACTCCAGTGCTGTGGGCACTTGGGGAATGAACCAGCAGATAGGAGATCTTTTTCTCCATTTTTCCTTCTCTCTGTAAATTTGCCTTTCCAATAAAAGATAAAATAGATCCTTTATATGTATAGACAATTTTTCCCCAAGAATGTAAAATATCCCAGTGAAATAACATTTTGACATGTTGCTACATTAGCTAATGGTAGTCTAACCATGCTGTGCTGAAGTGTAGGTGTACCTGAAGAGTTGGATCTGCACTAGTGTTGGTTCTTGTGTGGCTGAGAGCTGCCTGTCTCCTTCCTCCCCAGGATACGTTTAAAGTTCACTACGAGAACAACAGCCCCTTCCTGACCATCACCAGCATGACCCGAGTCATCGAGGTTTCTCACTGGGGGAATATTGCTGTGGAAGAAAACGTGGACCTGAAGCACACGGGCGCGGTGCTCAAGGGGCCCTTCTCGCGCTACGACTACCAGCGGCAGCCGGACAGCGGCATCTCCTCCATCCGCTCCTTCAAGGTATGCCCGCTCGGCTGGCAGCGCGGCACAGGCACGGCTTTGCCCTTCACCTTTGCCCTGGGAACCAGCTAAGTACAGAGAGGGACTGACTGACAGTTTTAAATAACTGAATCACAGTCATATGAAAATGACAGAAACTTGTAAAAAATAAAAATCTCCCCTTTATGGGAGTGAAACTTTGCACAGAAAGAAAGGAAAATGTATTCATCGTATCAACGCTCAGACACACGCATGGCGTGATGGTGTCGCATGTGCAGCTGTTTGTGTGGAGTCTTACACATTCATGCGCTGACACGTTGGGGAGGGCTCGCCGTGTCAAGAGAGGAGTTACATTCCCTCTTCCTCATTGTCAAAGCAGGTGCCAAGCTGGAAGCTGCTGTAAACGCTGTTGGGTGGAGCAGCCCCAGCCTTGCCACCTAGCCCGTGCGGTTCTGCGGTGTGATTTGCAAGATCATTTCTGTCCTGCTCTGTATTTGCAATTCAAATGAATGAATGAGTCGGCTGCTTAGCACCCTTGACTCAGTAGCTGTAGTCGACCCTTTTGGGGGAAGGTTGGGCTTTCTGATTGTTTCTGGTTTGGGCAGTCATACACATCTGGGTGCACAACGCGCCGTCCGCCTTTCGGGTGCCCCCCAGGGAGGCTGTGCATCCTTAGACGGGTGCCCGCTGTCTTGCAGACCATCCTCCCTGCCGCCGCTCAGGATGTGTATTACCGCGACGAGATCGGCAACGTGTCCACCAGCCACCTCCTCATTTTGGATGACTCCGTAGAGATGGAGATCCGGCCCCGCTTCCCTCTCTTTGGCGGGTGGAAGACGCACTACATCGTCGGCTACAACCTGCCCAGCTATGAATACCTCTACAATCTGGGTCAGTCGTCACAGTAAGAAGAGACTAACTTCCTCTTTACAGTCCTGGCATTCCCCGCCTCGGCCCCCCTCCCCTGCCCCCAAATTATACAGCTGCTAGTCCTTATGGATGGACAAAATGTCTGCCATGTCATTCTTAGGAGGTAAGGCTGGGATGTCCGGAACTTTTTTTCAAGGCAGAGTGATGGAAAAAAAGGTTTTCTGCAGCAGCTGAGGTGAGGCGAGGGCGCAGCTGCTCAGGGACCCGGGTGGCCTGACCAGCTTCTTTACTGCTAGGCCAAACACCTGTCCCTGGTTCTCTCTCTCTCTCTCTCCCCCCCTCCCTCTCTTTCTGTTTTAAAGATTTGTTTATTTGAAGGGCAGAGTTCCCTCCGAAATGGCTGCAATGCCCAATGCTGAGCCATGCCCAGACCAGGAGGCCCAAGCTTCTTCCCATCCCCCTTGAGCCATCCTCCATTCCTTTCCCAGGAGCATTAGTAAGGAATTGGATTAAAGTGGGACAGTCAGGATTTAAGCCAGCATTCGTATGGGGTGCCAGCATCACAAGTGACAATTTTATCTGCTGCACACATAATTTTTACAGTGCATATTATTGAGGCTGATGTCAAGTAAAGCAGCTTTACCCACCTATGCCATGGCACCAGCCCTCCATGTGGGCACTAGTTCATGTCCCTGTCACTCCACTTCCAATCCAGATCCCTGCTAAAGGCCTGGGACAAGCGTCGGAAGATTGGCCAGTGGTTCCTGTCATCTATGTCATTAGGCCTGGGTGGACTCCTGGTTTGGGTCTGGCCCTGCCCTGGCCATTGTGGCCATCTGGAGAGTGAACCAGCAGATGAAGCCTTCAGACTTCTGTCTCCCCTTCTTCATTCTAACTTGGCCCTTCTAGGAAATCAAAACAAGTCTTTACAATGACACACACACTGTGTTCTAAGAGGGCATCCCGGGATCGGTGTGGTGGCTTAGCACACTCATCCTCCATCTGCAGCTTCAGGGTCCCACATGGGTGCTGATTCAAATCCCAGCTGCCCCACTTCCAATCCAGCTCATTGTTAATGGCCTGGGAAAGCAGTGGAGGATGACCAAAGGCCTTAGGCACCAGTATACCCGTGTGGGAGCTCCAGAAAAAGTTCCGGATCCCAGCTTTGAACCAACCATTGTGAGCATTGGGGGAGTGACCTAGCGAATGGAAGATCTCTGTTTTTCTCTGAAACTCTTTCAAGTAAAATAAATCAATCTTTGAAAAACCAAAGTGAGGGCATCCTTACACTACCTTTTGCTCATTTTTAGCGTGTACTTTAGAAGCAGATTTGGGATGGATTTTGGTACCCTTTAGATCTTTATGGTTTTACTCAAGTCTGAAAAAGCACATGGCTCCCTGAGTGAGGCTTGGCCCTGTTGTGCTGCACTCGGACTCCGCTCGGCACCCTCTCGCTGCAGGGCACCGTCTGGAAGGGGGTTCTGTTAGATCCTTCTAGAACACACGGGTTCCTACAGGCCCACTGGCCTGCAAGGCAGGACACAGCTCCTGGTTCGTGTCCTGCTGCCCACCACGGCTGCCCTGACTTCCAGGAGGCCTGCTGTCTCTTGGGGTCCTTCAGTCCTCAGCCTTCCCGCTGCATTGTCCGTCACTTCCAGGGCCTGTGGCCTGACACGCTGTCCCCTGACCCCTTGGGCTGTGGACGTTGTGGCGATGCCCTGCCACTTAGTTTTGTTGGAAACACAGCCTGTGCACTTCACTGTAGAGTTGTCCTTGTGGGAAACTGGAGCAGCTCCAGAATGTCAGCTGTGCCACCTTCTGTGTCTTGCTAGGGTCTGCTGGTCCATTGACTTATTTTCTCACACACACACACAGTGTGTGTGAGAGAGGATGATGGAGTTACTTTGATCAGCTGCTTGGCTCTCAAAATGCCTGCCATGTCACAGATGGCCCAGGTTGATGGTAGGGGCCCAGAAGTCTCTGCGTCCCCCATGGGATGACAGCGACCTGGTGACTTGAGCCTTCAGGAAGCTGGATGGGTAGTGGAGTAGCTGGGAGTTGAACCAGATACCCTGAGAAGGCACACAGGCATCATAGCCATGTCATAACAGTGCTGTGCCACAGTACCCATCCCATGGATAGCATCCCTTCCTTCTGTGGGAGGCGAGCACTCCTCTGGCCTTGTGCTGCTGCCCTGCCGCCCTGTCTTGTGCCGTCACATGGTTGTCTGGTCTGTTTGACCCTCAGGTGACCAGTATGCCCTGAAGATGAGGTTTGTGGACCACGTGTTTGACGAGCAGGTGATAGACGCTCTGACTGTGAAGATCATCTTGCCCGAAGGAGCCAAGTGAGTGCCAGGTCCCATCGCTCTCCTGGGACCTCTCTATGGGCACCCGTGCCCTCTCACTGGGAAGCCCACAGGGAACCTTCTGGAGAAGGCACAGCCTAAGTCAGGCTGAAATGGAGGCATGTGGTTTACTTCTGGTATCTGCATGTGACAGGCGTCAGATCTAAAGTCTTCAACAAGCCAGAGCTGTGGCCTGTGCTAAAGCGGTAGGAAGGAGAGCACCCTGGGGGCCCGTGCAGGGTTGACAGACTGTGAGAGAATGCATTGTGCCTCTGTTTTTCATGGGCTTGTCAGGCCAGAAAAGGAGAGGTCCAGATGGCACGGCAAGGTGCCATGGTTACAAATAGTAGAGACTGCCTTTGCTCACTTGAAGAGATTGTATTTGGAAGGTGAAGGTTGTATCATAAAGTGACTGCGGAAGTTCAGAAACCAGGCTTTGGAAAGGAGGAGCCAAGCCTTCTGCAGGGTCCCAGTGCAGGAAGAGGTGGGCATGCACAGCACACCTGCCCTGAGTGCAGACACCCGTCTGTGGCCTGTGTGCTTCATAGATGCTGTTGCAGAGGGCGTCTCCCTGGCTCACGCATCTGCTCTTCTCACCCAGATGGGATGCACTTTGATTGTTCTTTTCTTTTTTTGGCGGGGGAGGCAGAAGTCAGATATACAGAGAGGAAGATCTTCCATCTGTTGATTCACTTCCCAAGTGGCCACAACGGCCAGAGCTGTGCCAATCTGAAGCCAGGAGCCCCGAGCCTCTTCTGGGTCTCCCATGCAGGTGCAGGGTCCCAAGCCCTGGGCTGTCTTTGCTTTCCCAGGCCACAGAGAGCTGGGTGGGAAGTGGGGCTGCCAGGATTAGAACCGGTGCCCACATGGGATCCCAGCGCGTGCAAGGCGAGGACTTTAGCTGCTAGACTGCCGCGTTGGGCCCTGATTGTTCTTTCTGGGGAGAACATCCATGGGGGAAGAATAGCTCCTCCAAGCAAACTTAGGGTAAGTTCTTGACCAGAGGGGCCTAGACAGAAAAACAGTCCAGGTCACCAGCCTTTGGACACAGCTGTTATTCATGGCTGGAGAAAGAGCCTTTGAAATAACTCCTGAGGGCCTCTTCAGATCCCAGGAGACTTTCTGGGCAGAATGCCCAGGTGGAGGCTGTGTCAGCAGGGTGACTCGGGGGTGGGCTGTTAGCTTGTCCAGAGCTGAGTGGAGGGCGGCTGAGCCAGCTGCTGACTTAGCCGGAGCTGCTCTCATTCTCGGCACTTTCCACAGTGGCAGTCAGGACGACCAGAAGGGAAGCCACTGGTCTGACCTCGCAGTTCTCTGTGCCACCACCTGGCTTGCCAGGGCGCTCAGCTGAGGCTCTCTTGCTCCCACTGGCCTCTAGGAACATCCAAGTTGACAGTCCCTACGAAATCAGCCGTTCCCCAGATGAGTTGCACTACACCTACCTGGACACATTTGGCCGCCCTGTGATTGTGGCTTACAAGAAAAACCTGGTGGAACAGCACATTCAGGACATCGTGGTGAGTGACTGCCCTGTCTGGCCTCCGGGGCCCTCCTGCTCAGAGGACACGGGGCTGTGGACCTTCCCTTCCTCCTGGCCTGTAGCCGTCTCCGGCCGGGCCACGGCAGTGCCTGAGAAGGCTGGCTTCCCGTGCCCCTGCAGCGGAGGGCAGTGCTGTGTTGGTTCTCCTCCGCAGGTCCACTACACGTTCAACAAGGTGCTCATGCTGCAGGAGCCCCTGCTGGTGGTGGCGGCCTTCTACATCCTCTTCTTCACCGTCATCATCTACGTCCGCCTGGACTTTTCCATCACCAAGGTACCCTCAGGGTGGCCTCCGACCCTGGCCAGCCAGCCTGTGGCCTCTGCTAAGCCTTACTGGAGAGGTGCTGGCATTTGTCTCTGGCCACCAGTTCATGCCAGTCCTGTCCTTGTTCACATTTATCCTCCTGTCCTACCAGACTGAAGAAGCGGCAGCCTCACCTTGATGTCTGGCCCAGATTAAATGTCAGCAAGGGTTGATTTTCTGACTGTAAGGTGCTGCCTCTTGTCTGGCTGCTGCTGGAGGGTGTTCTTTGGGAGACAGAGGCTCAAGCCTGGGTGTCTGCACACACGGTAACAACATCTCCCCTCTCCAGGATCCGGCCGCAGAAGCACGAATGAAAGTGGCTTGTATCACAGAGCAGGTCTTGACCCTGGTCAACAAGAGGATAGGCCTCTACCGCCACTTTGATGAGACCATTAATAAGTACAAGCAGTCCCGGGATGTCTCCACCCTCAATAGTGGCAAGAAGAGCCTGGAAACGGAACACAAGGCCTTGACCAGTGAGATCGCGCTGCTGCAGTCCAGGCTGAAGACGGAGGGCTCCGACCTGTGTGACAGGGTAAGTGTGCGGCATCGTGGGTGCGTGAGGTTCAGGGCTCGCATTAGGGGCAGGCACATGTGTGTCCCAAGCACCGCTTCCCTCCTCCATCAGGTTAAAGCCGGGCAGCCAGCCACAGGTGATCACTCAGTGCTCGCAGCTCTTGAAGTGGTACCCAAAGTTTTGGGGTCTATGTTGTGAGCTGGGTTTAGACAGGGCTCAGTAGCACCTACCATCTGCACTGGGCCAGCGCGGAGCTGCTTCCTTGGCTGTGGGCCAGGTAGGATTAGGCCTCAGGGTGCTGTAAGAACTCAGGCTCTGATTCAGCCTGGAATTCTGGGCGAGTTGCTTATCTTCAAGCCTGCTCATCTGGAAAATGGGGTGCTGGTAGTATTTCAGTGAGAACGTGAGATGAGTTTAGCGCATGTGACGTGCAGAGAGCTCTATCTGATGATGCTGTGAGAACAGTGACATCTTCACAGAGGTGCCCCTCAGCGTCCCCAATTCCCTGTCCCTCCTGGTGCCCCCTCTCAGTCTCCCACATGAGCTTTCCCTAAGCACCTGCCAGTTCCGGGACCTGTGCTTGGGCATGTGGTTCTGCGTTTACCGTCAGCTTCATGAGGGCACCGGGCCTTGCCCATCCCTGCTGCTGGGTTCTGTAGCATGCAGTGTTTACAGCACTGGCTCGCCACGCACTGGCTGTGAAGACTAACGGGCCCACAGCCTAACTCGGGAGCAGGTGTGCACTTTTCCAGCACTCCTGCCACCACTGCTCTTTTGCCTCACTGAACTTATCAGCTGCAGGGAGAGATGGTGCATCTACCAAGAGCCAACGGTGCCAGGACGCTGTCTCCGTGGGGTCCCATGTGCTCAGTCCTAGAACCCTGTCCTGATGTGGCCTGGGGTGGTGGAAGGGCTCGAAGGAACAGTTTGCGGGTTGGGAAGCCGGGCTGCTCCTCCTCCCCGGCCAGCTGCTCTGCCCCAGGCGGGGGCGCTGTGTTGCTGGCTGCACTTGGGCCTGGTTTCTGTGAACTCCAGGGCGATGGGGGAAAGACCTGGGGACAGTGGGGATGCTGAAGGGCTGGAGTGGACGGTCACTCTCCAGTGCTGCCCTGTTGTTGCCTTGCTAGGTGAGTGAAATGCAGAAGCTGGACGCGCAGGTCAAGGAGCTGGTGCTGAAGTCGGCAGTCGAGGCCGAGCGCCTGGTGGCTGGCAAGCTCAAGAAGGACACCTACATCGAGAACGAGAAGCTCATCTCGGGAAAGCGTCAGGAACTGGTCACCAAGATCGACCACATCTTGGATGCTCTGTAGGCCCCGCCCACGGTGCTGCCGGGGCCCAGGGAGGGCAGGCAGTGCGGGGAGGCCAGCCGGGGCTGCAGCTGGAAGCCAGGCAGCAGAAGGAACCTGGTTCTTACTGTTTTATTTTTTTTTTAAGTTGTTAAACCCAAGTCCCTTTATAACAGAGAATCTTTGTGTTTTGAACAAAGAAATTTTCAACAGTTGACTTGTATTGTTTGATTCTGAAGCCTGGGGTATTTTTTTCCCTAAGTCTGTAAGCACCCTGCTTCATGCCCTTCCTGATGTTTGGATATTCTGTGAGTGTGCTTTTTTAAAGGCGTGTGTGACCACATGGAAATAAAGTAGGACTTGAAATTCTTTCCTAACTGCATTCTTCACTTTGGATATAATACTTGATTATCAAGTGCTTTATATACAATGAATAACGTATTTGCTCCTCAGATCAAACTTGCAAAGCGGGCCCGGCACGATGGCGCAGTGGTTAAGGTCCTCGCCTTGCACGCCCAGGATCCCATATGGGCGCCGGTTCTAATCCCGGCAGCCCCACTTCCCGTCCAGCTCCCTGCCTGTGGCCCGGGGAAAGCAGTCGAGGACAGCCCAAAGCTTTGGGACCCTGCACCCGCGTGGGAGACCCGGAAGAGGCTCCTGGCTTCGGATTGGCATAGCATTGGCCATTGTGCTCACTTGGGGAGTGAATCATTGGACGGAAGATCCTCTCTCCTACTCTCTGTATATCCGCCTTTCCAATAAGAATAAAATAAATCTTTAAGAAACAAAAAACAAACTTGCAAAGCAAGTATTTACACTTTACATACTAGAACATGGAGCGGCCAGTGCTGCAGTGGGGTGGGCAGAGCTGCCACCTGCAGTGCTGGCATCCCTCATGGGTGCCCGTTCAAGTCCCAGCTGCTGCACTTCGATCCAGTTCCCTGCCAGTGCCCGTGGGGAAGCAGTGGAAGATGGGTGCCTCGACCGCTGCACTCATGTAAGGGGCCTGGGTGTGGATTCGGCCTGCTAGCTTTGGAGTGGCCTGGCTACAGATATTTGGGGACCGAACCAGCAGATGGAAGACTCTTTCTAATTCTGCTTTCAGATAAATAAACAAAACCATCAAGGTATCCTAATGGGAGCACTAGGGCGCACCAGTACAGTGGGCGAGGTGGCTTCCACAAGCTCACAACGTGAAGAAGCGATGGAGCCTGCGTTCTCGCAAATCTTCCAGTGTATTTATTTACTCAGTGGCAGTGAGGGACGGAGATGTCCGCCTGTTGGTTTGCTCTCCAGATCATGCAGCTCCACCTCCCGTACAGCGCCCTGCTCGTGGCCTGGGGAAGCAGCAGAGGACGGCCCAAAGCCTTGGGACCCTGCCACCCGCGTGGGAGACCCGGAAGAGGCTCCAGACTCCTGGCATTGCCTGGAGTGGGGTTCAGCTCCCACCCCTGCGGCCATTTGGGGAGTGAAGAGCGGGTGGAAGTCTCCCTCTGGGCTCCCTTGGCTGCCCCCCGGAAACTGTCCCGATAGTCACGAGCTGGGGAACCCTGGCGAGCCCCGGCGCATCCCGCCTGCTGGTGGCCACTGGCCAGCTCCTGCACCCGCAGCCTTCCACCCTTACGCCTCGTCACACCACTGAGAGCAAAGTCAGAAACTCAAAGTTCTTACTCAGGCAACTCCTCGGGACTGCGCGCGGCGCGGCCAGCGTCAGCTTCCGGGTGGGCGAGAGGTGCGCGTGCGCCCTGGACACTCCGAAACCCGCGGCTGTGTCACTAGGGAACGCCAGAAAGGAAACCCGAACACACATGCGCAGGCTGCCGGCCGCCTTGGCAAGTGTGCGCATGCGTGAGGCTGCCCCCACCAGTCCTGGCTGCGCTGGAAGGAGCTTTCCTCAAAGCTATGGCGCCACCTAGGCGGTGAGCCCAGGAACAGCCGCTCTGCCAGATCCAGAAGTGCTGAGTCTGGGGTCTGCGGGACCTGGGGAGCGGGGCCCATTAGGGACGCGGGGATTCTCAAATCATCAGGGCGACGGGGACTTAGGCTCTTGGATGCCCTGTGCAGGGCGCTGGGCCAACTGGGCCTAACCGAGCTGGTGTCCTCCCAGCATCCTGTACTGGCCACCATGGTGAAGCATCCAATGTGGTTTCACATCCTGTCTTGGGCCTACCTGAGCCTGCTTGCACGCCTCGTTCTCTAGGGCTTAGAGTCAGTCTGTGGGTGTCTCAGCCTTGTTCTGGTCCTGCGTGTCCACGTTAGTACGCAGGGCCTCAGTTTACCCCTTGCAAGCGGCAGGGAAGCAGCGACATGGGCCCTGGATGGAAAGGCTGGACCCAGGCATGGCACCCTTTGGCGCTGAGTGGTTTGTCCAGGACTGCTAATGTCCTCTCGTTTAAGATGAACCCAGCCCCGTCCCCTCTGCCACCCTCACTGGGTGGTGAGCAGTGACCCCTGTACCCCCTGCTGGTGTTGAATTGCTCCCAGGCCTGTGCCATCTGCCCAACCCTGTCCAAGGTGGTGGATTCCGAGGACCCAGCCCCCCCATGTCCCTATGGCTGCAATCCTGGGCTGTCCCTGCAGCCGGGGATGACTGGCCACGTCGTCACAGACCCCCATCCCCACAGTGGCACCTGCAGCCCAGCCCTTGGCTCAGAAAGTACAAAAGGAGGCTGAAGAAGGGCCTGGTGTCACCTTCCCTCCTCCATTTGTCTTGGGGACTGACACGGGAGAAAACCCCAAAGGACCAAGTGCGCCCTCACAGTTTCACCACAAGTATCCTGAGCGGGTGTCTGCTGCCCGGCTGATAGCGCAGGCCCCGGCCGCAGCCCCGCCGGAAACCCGCGCTGCCAGCGGTTGGGGCCGCAGGCTCAGAACAGGAAACGCCCCAGCCATGCCCCAGGGCCCATGGCCTCCTCCAAGGCCTGCTGCTTTGGTTGAGACCTGGCGCCATTTTGAAGCTGGGCTGTGGGATTCTGGCCTGCCCCTGGGACTGGTGGCTTGAGATCTGGGGACCATTTTGTGCCCTACCCAAAGTGACCTGGGCACGAGAGAAACCCCCAGACGGGACCCTGCCTGAAGTGAGAGCTGGGTGCGAGGCTCTTTTGCCATGGCTAAGCCCTCCGTGGTGCCCCTAATCTGGCCTCTTAAGAATTCCAACTTCTATTTGCAACATTGGCTCTTTCTGAGGTCCACTAGGCCCAGGGTGAAACACGGGGAGCATGGGTGGGAAAAGAACAGAAGGACCAGGCACGGGGAAATGTCACCCGAGTGAGTGACACAGCCGGGCGCAGTGATCGGGTCTGCAAGGGTTTTCGTGAGGGGATCATGGGAGAGGATCCTAGGTCCCCGCCTCCTTTGTTGACTTGTGCTGGTGAGATAAGCATCCTGAAGGCATTCGGGGTGGATGTGCTAGCCTGTTCGGGCTGCTTGTAAACAGGAGTATGTCTTGGTTCTGGAAGGTGGCAGGCCAAGAACAAGGTACTGGCCAATTGGACGTGGGGTCAGGTCCTGCTCTTCAACATGACCTTGCATGGTGGACAGGTCAGCTCTCTGAAGTCTTCTTTGTGAAGACATGGGTCCCACTGGTGAGGCCTCCATCCTCTCCAACCCGTGCACTGGCCGTGGCAATGACAGGCTCCTGCTGAAGTTCAAGGGAGAGGAGGGAGGCAACAGGGCTCGGGGAGAGCAGGATTGAACGGGGCTGTTGGAGACTCTGGCGACAGCTCTGGGACATCGTGCTTCTGAGTGCCAGGACTGGCTCAAGCTGTGTCTCAGGCGGGCCAGGCGGCCTCACTAGGAGCCGGGTCGAAGCCGCATCCTATATATATATATAGGATATAAAATATTAAATATTTATATACATAGAGAAAGGTCTTTCATCCGTTGGTTCACTCCCCAAATGACTGCAATGACCAGAGCTGTGCAGGTCTGAAATCAGCAGCCAAGGGCTTCTTCTGGGTCTTCCATGTGGGTGCAGGGCCCTGAGCATTTCAACTTTCTTCCACTGCTTTCTGAGGCACATCAGCAGGGAGCTGGATTGGAAGTGCGGCAGCTGGGACTCGAACCAGCACCCCTGTGGGATACCGGCGCTATAGGCAGTAGCTTTATGCGTAGCAATGGCCCCAGCGCGATAAATATCTTCCTTTGGTCAGTGTCAGACACTGGCATGGGGGCACCAGGGGCACTGTAGCTTTCAGAAAGACCAGGAGCTACAAAATCAATCCTTGTAAGTACAGTAACTGCTTTGCAGGGGATCAAGTGGGGTGAGGTGATGAATGGAGACAGGCTGAGGACTCAGGAATGGGAGGTCGTGGCTTTTCTGAAGCCTGGGGGAGCAGCAAGAACTGGGGGTACAGGGTGGATATGGGTGGTACCAGCCTGAGTTGTGCTGCCTCCTCTCCACCCCCACCCCCACCCTCACCCCATTCCATCCTCCAAGTCAGGGTCCCTCCCATGCCCCAGGCACACAGACAACCCAGCCTGTGTTGGAGGGATTTGCCACACCAAACACCACATTCTAGTTCTTTTTCAAGTTGAGATGAGGCTGGGCTGCAGCTCCCACTATGGGTTTTTTTATTGCTTGTCCATGAACCTGGCTCCGTGACCAGGGTGAATGGGAGGCCCAATCTCTCTCATTTACACCTGCATCGTGGGGCGTGGAGGTGCACGCACACACACACACGATCATTGCACTCGTCACCTGTGTACAAGCCACTCCCACATATGTGGCCGTCACACAAACTTGCATACCTACAGACGAATGTACACACGCAGGCCAAGTACTTAGACGCCTGTTGTGAGCTGGGCACCCTTCTTGACCCTGGGGAAACGGTGCTCCAGGTAGGTCCCCAGTGCCAGGGACCTCGGGAAGCCTGCAGAGACGCCCTCTAGCATGGAAGCCTGCTCCTGCCAGCTGGGGGACTTTGAGGCCGGGCATTTAGCGTTCTTGACTTGTTTCCCCAACATCAGCAATCAGCAGCCGGGTGGCAGGGAGGGTGTGGAGCCCTGTAACAAATGGGGGTCACAGGACCAGGACCACCATCTCAGCATGGCTTCCCAGGGGACTCCTGCACACAGAGGCCCTCGTGGGCTGACACAGGTTCAGAGAAACATGGTGGTCTCTGGCTATAGGACCCCTCCAGCGGGACAAGGGTGCCTGTAACCCAGCAACCTTGCCAGGGTTCAGAGCTGGCCCTGCAGACCTGGGCGGCTGCCAAGCAGGTCCTGGGCTGGAGATTGCATGATTTCTTCTCCTGTTGTCGTCTGCTTCACTGCCATCCGTCCTCGCTGTGTCTTCCTGGTCGCTGACCCTGGCTCTCTCATCTCCCCACTGCTGACAGCCTGTCCCGGGTGGTATGCCGTGTGCTCTT